AGATGGGGTTTCACCATGTTGGTCAGGCTGGTCTCTTAACTCCTGACCTCAGGTGATTCACCTGCCTCGGCCTCCCGAAGTGCTGGGATTATAGCTGTGAACCACCATCTGTGACCACTAAGACTAAAATCGTTTTCCTCTGGGCATTTAAGAAAAAGGGTTTCACCGTGTTAGCCAGGATGGTCTCGATCTCCTGACTTTGTGATCCGCCCGCCTCGGCCTCCCAAAGTGCTGGGATTACAGGCGTGAGCCACCGCGCCCGGCCAATTTTTTGTATTTTTAATAGAGACGGGGTTTCACCGTGGTCTCGATCTCCTGACTTTGTGATCCGCCCGCCTCGGCCTCCCAAAGTGCTGGGATTACAGGCGTGAGCCACCGCGCCCGGCCCTTTCTTTCTTTCTTACTTTGTTCTCTCTAACCTCAAGCAACAGAGGTAGAAGTTGAGCAGGTACCTAAAACTGAGGGCTTTGAATTCTTTTCTCTGACCAGAGAAACTGTACTTCAAGAGTGTGAGGCAAATCCTGTTGTTTATTTTGTGTCCCTCTGTCCTCCCACTACTTGGCTCTGGATGCAGATGCAATCATGAGAAGTGCATGGCAGAGAGTGGGCAAATTAAAGTCCTGGTATTCTGACCATGAAAGGGAGCTCCAAGGAACCAGCAAGTGTCAGGGGGATCACAGATAGTAGGGAGCAAAGTTGTGTATGAACCCCTGGGCTCACCTCCAAGCTACAAACACATGGATCTGACCCTAAACAATACACAAACAGCTCTGAGAACTGAACTACAGGCTAGGCCACCGCCCAGGTTCCAGATTAGCCACTAGCTGAGACATGAGACAAATCCAAATAGCAGTGGCCAAAGCTTTGAAAAATGAACTAACAGGCAGGGCGCGTAATTCCAGCACTTTGGGAGGCTGAGGCGGGTGGGTCATGAGGTCAGGAGATGGAGACCATCCTGGCTAACACGATGAAACTCCATCTCTACTAAAAATACAAAAAATTAGCTGGGCGTGGTCGCACATGCCTGTATCCAGCTTACTCGGCGCGTGAACCTGAGCCAACCGAAAAGTCACGAACAGGGAGGGCAGGAGTGCCATGAGCTGGACCATGCCCACCTGCACTCCAGCCCTATGATACAAGAGCGAGACCTGTCTCGAAAAAAAAAAAAAAAAACCCAAAAGAAAAAAAAAGGAAAAGAAAAGAAATGAACTCCAAGCTAGCCAGTGGTCCACACCCTGTTTATCCCTACACCTGGGAGGCTGGAGAAGGTGGGTGGATCACAGTCAGCCGGCATTTGAGACCAGCCTACACCAACATTGTGCAATAACCCCTGCTCTACTACAAAATACAAAAATAGCCTGGACACGTGCCCACCATGCCTGTAATCAAGCTAACTTGGGAGGGGACAGCAGAAATCCATTGAACCCGGGACGCGCAGAGATGGCAGTAGCAGAGATCAACCCATGCACCAGCCTTTGGCAACAAAAAAATGGAAACTCGTGACCCCGCTCTAACTAAAAAAAATACACAAAAACAGCCTGGCCGACGGTGGCGGGCGCCTGTATCCCAGCTACTCGGGAGGCGAGGCAGATAATGGCGGAACCCGGAGGCCGACAGCCTTGCACCTGAAGCTGAAACTTCCGGCCACCGCACTCCAGGCCTGGGAGCGACAGACGAGACCGTCTCAAAAAAAAAAAAAAAAAGAAAAAAAGAATCCAGGCCACAGAACAGGTCAGCACTCCCAGATCACCTGCATAACAAAAAAAAACACAAATGTTCCTTTTCCTTCCGATTGACACCACGAGACAGACTCATAATAAATTCACAACTCAGCGCTACGAATATCGCGCGCCAACATCTGGCGCCAGCGGCGCCGATGGCTCAGTGTAATCCAGCACTTTGGGAGGCCGAAGACGGTGGACCAAAGGTCCGAGACTCAAAACCATCCTGGCTAACACCGGTGAAACCTCTCCACTAAAAACAAAAAACTAGCCGCCGCGAGAGCTGCCGGCGCTGTACTCCATCTACTCGCGCGGAAGCTGAGGGCCGGAGAATCGTGAACCTGGCGGCGCGCCCGTCCCCAGCTTGGCAGTGAGCCTGAAGATCCCACCGGCACTCCCACGCCTGGTCGCATAAACCGCGCACAACGACCCCCGTCTCAAAAAAAAAAAAAAAAAAAATATTGCATACAAAGACAGGAATAATCTCAACTTACAAGAGAAAAGACAATCAAAAGATGCCAACTCTGAGATGACATATATTGGAATTATCAAAGATATTACAGCAACCATATAACCAAGAAATATGAGCATTCTTACAATGAATGGAAAGATAGAAGGTCTCAGCAAAGAAACAGAAAAGAAATAGAATATTAAGAAGATTGAAATAGAAATTTTACAACTAAAAAATGCAATACTGAAATTTTAAAAGGTAAATCTTTTCCCATGTATATGTCTGCAACTAGAAGATATATAAGATCTCCTTCTCGTTTATAAGAAATGGAAATATAATTCATCAAACTGGCCACATTTGGCTGCATGAGAACACATATTCACTCTAAAAGTACAAACCCAATAGTGTGAGATTCCAGGGAATTATCAATACTGCATAGTAATTGCAATGAAGGCATAACAAAACAAAAGTAACTCATTCTGATCATCCCTTGAAATTAAAGTTTCTCCTTACTTTAATAATTTACTTTACATTTGACTTTGACAAACTCAATACAACTCCTAGAACTATATATGTTTTCAAAAGTATAGTTAGCTAACCAAATATTCAGTTGAAATCATTAAATACTAATACATTCTTATAAACATAGGACTAAGTTAAAAAGAGATACACATTTTTGACTTCCAGAAGGAGCACTCTAAAACAGATGCCAATGCAAAATATGCAAATAATCGAATCAACTATGTAGCAGAATCAAGAAAATTATTGGCAGAAAAATTAAAATCAGATATATAGAATAATTCTAAACACCCATTAGAGAGGCTGTGCCGTGGCTGGCTTAGAGGTGAACCAGCTGCACCCCTTAAGGCCCAGTACCTTCCTGCTTCCCAGAGATCACTTCTGCCTGAGACTGTGAAAAGAGGAAGTCGAACTCCAGTGGTAAATCTTTCACTAGGTCAGCCAAGATAGCCAACTGCTTCCTGCAAGAAAGAACAAAAAATCCCAAAGTTAGTCACTAAACTCTCCTCTCATAAACTGCCTCAACTTGTCCTTCTACTTAGCCTTGTCATGACCTCGCTGTTCACCTATCTCATCTACTTGTCCAGCCCTGCTTCTTTTTGGTACCGCCTGATTTTAAAAGTTTCAACTGCCTCGAGGTATATCCTCCTACCTAAAAGGCAACATGGTAATAGTGATACTTTCCCCTTATACGATGTTATTATTCAAAGAATGTTAAAAGATGAGACTATGAGACTATGGTTCTATGACTCTCACAGGCTGAGTACAAATAAGCCACAGGAAACTGCAGCCAAGTTGCATAACCTATAAAATTGAAGTAATTACAGTATTCCTCACCCTGTAAAACAAAGATGTTAAATTAAGGAACACAATCTCATCCTCAAATCTTACACAACACAGAAACAATCCTTCACATTACCACACAAGAGGTACTGTTGGTTCCACAAGTTTTAATATAATCCTTTACATAAGCTAACAATTAACTTTTTTTTTGAGACGGAGTTTCACTCTTGTTGCCCAGGCTGGAGTGCAATGGTGCGATCTCAGCTTACTGCAACCTCTGCCTCCCAGGTTCAAGTGATTCTCCTGCCTCAGCCTCCCAAATAGCTGGGGTTACAGGCGTGCACCACCACCCCTGGCGAATTTTGTATTTTTAGTAGAGATGGGGTTTCACCATGTTGGTCAGGCTGGTCTCTTAACTCCTGACCTCAGGTGATTCACCTGCCTCGGCCTCCCGAAGTGCTGGGATTATAGCATGAGCCACCTTACCCAGCCACAATTAACTTTTTAATCTCCTTTTCCTTATTTCAAGGGTTGACTTTGTTTTCATTGTAAAAATCTTACCATTTGAAAACCCTAGATCAGGATCAAAATCCAGAGGACATAACAACATTTCCAATTTGGGGAAAACATTTGAAACTTCCCATCTATAGGGTTGTCTTTCCTCTAACATTTTAAGCATATAATCAGTATTATCAAGCAAAGGAAAGCAAAGAAACAAAGCTAGAAGTAATATGAATCTAGAGAAAATGTTAGTTAAAATAAGATAAATTATCTTGGATTAAAAAAATTATTCATTACAAAAATATTCTACTGGCTCAGACAGTTGTCAGTACTACTTGATGAAGACTGTTGTTAGCACTTCAAAGTGAAGATCTATATTTGAAGTAATAATCTTCCAATATAATGTCAAGTATAGTTTCTTAAAAAGTTTATTGTTATAGATATTAAATTCTTGCAATAAGAATTTCAAATGGGGACCAAGAATGGGTATTCTTCTGTCCCTACTGGATATGCTTCTAAAATCCTCAAAGAGAGGGTTCGCTGGTTTTGGCAATGATATGGAAGAATGGGTACCAACATATGTTGCCGTTAGCTATGCAAATTACTAGTACAGGCCAGGTGCAGTGGCTCATGCCTATAATCCCAGCACTTTGGGAGGCTGAGGCAGGTGGATCACCTGAGGTCAGAAGTCTGAGACCAGTCCAGCCAACGTGGTGAAACCCCGTCTCTACCAAAAATACAAAACTTAGCCAGGCATGGTGACAGACACGTGTAATCCCACTCGGGAGGCTGAGGCAGGAGAATCGCTTGAATCGGGAGGTGGAGGTTGCAGGGAGCGGAGATCATGCCACTGCACTGTAGCCTATACGATAGAGGGAGACTCTATCTTCAATAAGTAAATAAATAAATTACTAGTACAACCTTTCTAAAGGGCAATCCAGGACCATGTTTCAAAATGTTTCAATGTGTTTAACCTTTGATCCAGCTGTCATACTTTTAGAAATTAATTCCAAGGAAATCATCAGACAAGAAAATAAAGAAGAGAAATACTGCATTATTTATAATGATGAAAATTATTTATAACAATGAAAAACTGGAAATACCATGTCATAGGGATTGGTTAAATAACTTACGGCACAGCCATGTAATGTAATGCTATACAGATGTTAAAAGAAATGAAGTCTACTTATATGTACATGTATAGACATGAAAAGATAAAAGATGTCCAATACATTTTATAAAACAGTATGTATAATGTGATTCCATTTATGCTAAAAAAAACAAAAACCCAAATCATTCTTCATGTATACAAAGTGACAGGATAAAGCTTTCATTTTCTAAAATTCAATATAGTTTCTTTATTTAAAATGCTTTTAAAGTGGCAAAATGTTGATAATTGTTCAAGCTGGGTGGTGGCTAAATGGGGATTTACTGCACTGTTCTCTTCTATACACATGTGAAATTTCCTAAAACAAAAATTATTATTTTATTAAACACCACCTTGTATTATGTTGTAATTTTTAAGGGATTTTTTAAACTGCAAAATAAAAGGGAGGTAGAAAAAATTCTGTTAGTCCAGGCCTTTGGCAAAGAAATAAAACCAAATGCTAATAAATTCAAAATATAGTCTAAGTGATTCAACCCTATTTTGAATCTGCTTACAAATGCTAATAAATTAGCAAAGCATTAATCATACAAAACAGATTTTTGTGCTGATAGTCACATCTATGCCAACAATTAGCTTGGACTTAGAGGCAGCAATTATTTCATAAGCCCAGAACAGATGTATGTATTATTTAGAGAGGTGACCAGAAAACAAGTAGAAAAAGCAAAAAAAAACAAATTTCTTTAAAAACTCTTAAGATACAATAAATGTTAATATTCAGAGTTTCCACATTGACATCTAACATCTCAGACAAATAAGGTGAAGCTACACAGTGGGTTTGATTTAGATGGAAACTTCTCTGACAGAGGTAATACTGAACAGTGCCAGGAGGTGAGGCAACAGTCTCCTTTGCTCCAAACACACTGAAGGCAGCCAAACTACCAGGTGGGTTCCTCTGCCCAGCTCAGCTGGTCAATTCCGCCTTTTTAACCTCCAAGTCAGCTTTTTCTCTGGCCTCCCTCCCCTTTTCTTGGCCTTTCATAGACTTTGTAATGTGGCACCTGCTCTTGTGTCATGTATGTATATTCTCCCCAGGGTTTCTAAAATTTTTGAACAATATGAATATCACCCATGTCACATAAAAATTCTTAATTGCATGCACAGTATGATTGCAACTTTGTGGAAATTACGTATCTGTGAACAAAGAGGAAGGAAAACAACAAAATGAAACAGTTTTGATAGGGTAGCAGGGTTGTAAGTGGTATTGTTTTGTTTTGTTCATTTTTAAGATTTCCTTTAAGGAGGTAAGGTTGCAGTTACAATATTGAAAGTTTGGTTTTACAAATAAGTAAAAACAAAACAAAAAAATTTTTAAAGACTGAAATGTATGGGGCAATAAGGGAACTAAAAAACCTCTCATGTTGACAAATGGCTATATAAATAATCTGCTCCTCGACAGTAAACCAGTCAGTAAACCAGTAACTGTGAAAAAAAGTCCACTGAAAGAAGCATTGCTGCTATATGTTATGTTGTCTGCATGTCTGACATAAGCCGTGGAGCCCTACATGTATGGCTGAGGTTTTTGTTGTTTGCTGCTGTTTTAAGGAAAGAAAGCCAACCAAAAAATGTAAACGTTGTAAAAAAAAACAAAAAAAAAACCTACTATTGACCAAGGGAAAATATTTAAGCTAATAAGGAAATACCTGATGCCTATGAGACCATGAACATTCCAGGAGGATGAATTCTAAAGTTAAGGTTGACAATGGTCTCTTTGATATGACAGCAAAAGCACAGGGAACAAAACATCAACAAGTAAGACTATATCAAACTAAAAAGTTCTGTACAGGAAAGGAAACAATCAACAGAGTAAAAAGGCAAGCTACAGAATGGGATGAAATATTTGCGAACTATACGTTTGGTAAGGGGTTACTCCTACAACTCAACAGCAAAAACCCTATTAACCCAATGTAAAAATGGGCTAAAGACTTGAGTAGACATTTCTCTATTCACAGAAATGGCCAACAGGAATATGAAAAGTTGCTCAACATCCCTAGTAATCAGGGAAATGCAAATCAAAACCCCGATGACATATCACCTCACACTTGACAGGATGGCTGTTATCCAAAAAACAAAAGACAACAAGTGTTGGCAGGGCTGTGGAGAAATTGGAAACTCTGCATACTGTTGGTGGGAATGCAAAATGGTGCAGCAACTCTGCAAAACAGTACAGAGGTTCCTCAAAAAATTAAACATAGAGGCCAGGTACGGTGGCTCACACCTGTAATTCAGCACTTTGGGAGGCTGAGACATGCAGACTGCTTGAGCCCAGGACTTCAAGAACATTCAGGGCAACATGGCAAGACCCCATCTCTACAAAAAAATACAAAAAATTAGCCAGGCCTGGTGGCTCATGCCTGTGGTCCCAGATACTCAGGAGGCTGAGGTGGGAGAATCACCTGAGCCTGGGAGGTGGAAATTGCAGTGAGCCGAGATCATGCCATTGCACTCCAGCTTGGGCAGCAGAGTGAGATCCTGTCTCAAAAAGTAAATAACTAAATAAATAATTAAACTGTCATATGATCCAGCAATCCTACTTCTGGCTAATTACTCCAAAGATTTAAAATCAGGATCTCAAAGAGATATGAGCCCTCCCATATTTACTGAAGCATTATTTACAATAACCAAGACATGGAAACAACCTAAATGTTCACTGACAGATGAATATGTAATGAAAACATGGTATATACACACAGTGGAATACTATTTAGACTTTTTTAAATAAAAAAGGGCATTCTGCAATATGTGACAAGGTGGATGAACACTAAGGACAATGCTAATGGAAATAAACAGGCACAAAATTTCAGTTAAGCAAGATGAATAAGCACTGAAGATCCACTGTACAACACTGTACACATAGTCAACAATAATGTATTGCATACTTAAAAATGTGTTGGGCTGGGCATGGTGGCTGACGCTTGAAATCCCAGCACTCTGGGAGGCTGAGGCAAGCGGATCACTTGAACTCAGGAGTTCTAAACCAGCCTGGGCAACATGGTGAAACCCTGGCTCCACAAAAATTAGCTGGGTGTGATGGTCCCCACCTGTAGTCCCAGTTACTTAGGAGGCTGAGGTGGGAGGATCACTTGGGCCTGGGAGGCAGAGGTTGCAGTGAGCTGTGATCACACCACTGCCCTCCAGCCTGGGCAACAAAGCAGACCCTGTCTCCAAAAAAAAAAAAAAAAATCTGGTTAGAGGGTAGATCTCATGTTAAGTGTTCTTACCACAATAAAATAAAAATCTTTTTAAAAAAAAGTTCAGGGAGCTCATTCTTACCCCAGGCCTATACAAGTATGGACAGATCAAGGTGGTACCAAAGGAAAGAAATCACAAACAAGAAGGAGACTGGCTTAAATACAGACTTCTCTTCCTCTACCTCTAATGCAGGAAGAGGGATCAGGTGGCAAGGTGTCAGGCTGAATTGCCAAGGTCAAGTGGAAATGACATGACTGGCTGGGGCTGAGAAAACTGGCGTAAGGCAATGGAGACTGAGCTCTGCAGTAGCAGCAAGAGGAGGGACTCCCCAGTGATCGCCAGGGTTCTAGGCAGAGTTACAGAGAAGGTAGTGTTCCTATCAGAGATCTCCGATTAGTCCCTAGGTATCAAGGTCATCAGGTGACCCTCCTCCTAATTCATTCTGTAATTATGTTCTCTATGTGCCTGATGATCCAAATCTATTACCATCACCACTACTCCCAACCCTCAATCCAAACTAAGAATCACTATAGTCATCCCAGATAGATATTGATCCCAAAGCAGCAAATGACATGAAGTTGGGAATGAATGACTGTGTCATAATTGGGTTTAGGGATATAGACCAGGGAACCACAGAGGACAGTGCATGAAACTGGCCTTTCATCTCTCATGCCACCGTTTTCCTGTGTTTCCTGGACCCTGCATCTCACCTCTCAGGGAGAAGCCTCATGCCTGCTGTGCAGAGGATGTAAAGGGGGGTCTCCTTGTGCTTCTTCACGGGCACATGAGCAGCAGCAAAGCTCAGCAGAGGACGAAGGTAATCACTGGCATGTTCTGGAGTGTCTGCCATTGCAGAGATTCCTTAAGTTAAAACAAACAAACAAAAAAGTTTCTTTAAAAAGCAGCTCACATAAGACTCAGGAAACTGATGCCCTATAAGGTTCTCCTTAAGGTCCTAAACATTTATTTATTTGAGAGGTAGGGGGTGACAATGAATGAGACATCCCTCCCGTTACCCAGACTCTCAAGAAGAAAAGGGTAGCTTGCTTTCTCCTTCTTTACTCTCCTCTTTCATGCCTTAAAAGAGATTGACAAAATATATTCTGATGTGATGAGTACCTGGCTTGATTTTTTTAACCACTGGTTGGCTGTTGCGGTCTCTCATCTGTTTAATGTCCAGCAAGTCATGGGGGTTCCCATTATGTCTTGGCCAGAAATAAACAAAAATCCGGGAACCACTGCTGCCACAGTCGACAACAAGTCCATAATTCAGATTTGGGTCTTCAGTGTCAGTAGCTTCAAGGTCCCCTACTCGAGCCAAATACCTAAGTCAGGCAAAAAGAGAAATCAGTGCTAAGCAGTCAGGTCCATGAAAGGCACCCTCACTTACTTCATTTGTTCATGAATCTTCATTAAGTGCCTACGTGTGCCAAGCGCATGGGACTACCAGTCCTAACCAATGAGTGAAGCAATATTGACAGATTTACTGATGTGCCTGAGACAATAGCTGGTTCGCTTGCCTAGAGGCCACTGAAATTAGATGACTAAAAGATGTCCCCATGTGTGGGGGCAGCTCTGAAACTGGCTGAGGTAGCAATCTTTTTTCAAGCATTAGAGCTTGTAGGCCTGAATAAATAACTGTTTTTTTGTTATATGCCATTAAGTTGTGGGGTAGCTTGTTACACACACTAGATAACTGAGACAATCTTAATCACTTCTTTTCTATCTTTCTGTAGAGATGCATCCAGAATATTGTGGAACGATTTCTCATGTAATGTGTTTCTGGGAGGTGATTTTGTTTTGTTTTGTTTTGGTTTTTTGGTTTTTTGAGACAGAGACTTATTCTGCCACCCAGGCTGGAGCACACTGGCACGATCTCAGCTCACTGCAACCTCTGCCTCCCAAATTCAACCGATTCTCCTGCCTGAGCCTCCCAAAGTGCTGGGATTACAGGCATGAGCCACTGCGCCTGGCCTGGGTGGTGATATTTTTGATTGGGCTTTTTTGTTTTGCTTTTTTGCTTTTTGTTTTGTATTTATATTGCTAGAATTTCATTAACTAAAAATGTAATTCATAAAAACAATAATTATTCTTTTCTAACACATTTTATATATATATATAATATATATATAATATTTTTTTTTTTTTTTTTTGAGATGGAGTCTTGCTCTGTCCTTCCCAGGCTGGAGTACAGTGGCGTGATCTCAGCTCACGCAAGCTCTGCCTCCCGGGTTCATGCCATTTCTCTTACATCAACAAACCGTACGGACTCGGCGCCCAGCCACCCCCAAAACCCCCGGCTAATTTTTTGTAATTTTTAGTAGAGACGGGTTCACCCCGTGGTTGCCAGGGATGGTCTTGATTTCCTGACCTCATGAATCCCCACCTCAGCTCCAAGTGCTTGGGGAATACAGACGTGAGCCACTGCGCCTGGCTAAAATTTTAATAAATATAAAAGAATGATCACTCAAATATCCCCATGCGCACTCGTGGTCCCCCCAAGCTCTCACTTCCTTTTCCCTCACACACCCAACAATTCTCTGGCCTTACTTAGTTGGATTTATTCGACATCTCATAATCCAAAATCGCTGGCTGAACATTAAGGGAAGATGAAACAAGTAAAGGTGTTCCATGAAACACATCAAAGGTCTGAATCTCAGCTCTATTGCTTTCTATGCTGTGTGCTAAGCAAGTTAAAAACAATACCCAACATTTTCTCATCTACAAGGAGAGAAGGGAAAGGGTACATCTACCCTCACAGAGATCATAAACAACACAAGCAGAAAAAAAAACAAAAACCGACTGTGTACACACACAGATCGTAACGCAAAACTCACACAAGACATTTCAAATAGGACATTATTTAACTACACTGAGCCAACTTTGCCAGGCATGGTGGCTCACACCTGTTATCCCCGCACTTTGGAGGGCTGAGGTGGGTGGATCTCCTGAGGTCAGAAAGTTCAAAGACCCAGCCTGGCCAACATGGTGAAACCCATGTCTACAAAAAACTATAAAAATTAGCCAGGCATGGTGGCAGGAGCCTGTAATCCCCCAGCTACTCAGGAGGCTGAGGCAGGAGAATTGCTTGAACCCGGGAGGCAGAGGTTTCAGTGAGCTGAGATCGCGCCACTGCGCTCTCGCCTGGGTGACAGAGCGAGACTCCGTCTCAAAAAAAAAAAAAAAGTTATCTGCCCTGCTCATCCAACATTGTCTTCAAAGCCAACTCCTAGATCTCCAAGGCTCTTACACAGAACCCCTCAGAACCAGTTTTTGTGATGTCTGAAGCTAACAAAATTTGGAAAGCCTTTTAAAAACAAGATTCAGCATTACAAATACAAAAAAAGCCCATGTAAGTGAAGGGCTTTAAGGTATAGGGATCATTAGCTTCACAGTAAACCCACCCCCAATCAGAATAATAAACCATGCATCATGCTCCTGAAACTAATATAGCCAGTGTTTATTGGTGATTTCACATTGTTAGACAAACCACACAGTTCCTTATTTGGGCAGAAAAGCAAACTTGATAAAAAGAAGAGCATGTAGAAATAATTCCGAAATAAAAAAGTAGAGTACCTTTCCTACAGTACAATGCAAAATGCATTTTTTTTTTAAAAAAGAGAAGAGCAGGTAACTAAGCTTCAATATAATGTTGTTAATTATTACTGAGAGTAGGGGTAGGTAGAACTTTTTTTCTGGATCTGAAATAGTAGTGAGTTGAGGGAAATGAAGCAGATGGTAAAAATCTGTTACAAAACAGAAAGTTTCTAATCCTAAAGATTCCATTTCACCACGTATCTTCCCATTCTAATCAAATCACTGGGCTGAACTGGGCTAGAATCCACCAATCAACTAGCAACAGCTCACTTCTATCACACGAGAGCTGGGCAAAAGTCTGGGTTCAAGTCACAGAACTCTTGCAAATACTGACCTCACAAGAGGCCAAAGATAAAAAAGAAACAGGCAAGATAATCCACCCCCATTCCAAAGTGACTTTTCATTTCCAATTACAGCAATCTTTCTATTTCACATGCTTCACAGAATCTTCCTGCTTCCCTTCTCTGAAAACCACCCACTCTGCTTGTCTCTTGCAAGATTCTGGATCCCATCCCCTTCTGCATAATGAATAACTTTTCTCTAGTGCACTGGTTCTCAAATTTGGGGGCCTTAGGACTCCTTTGTAATCTTAAAGCTTATTGAACCCCAAAGAGCTTTCGTAGATATAGGTTATATCTATCTATATTTACTATATTAGAAAATAAAACATAAAAAGTTAAGTACTTATTTCATTTAAATAAAATAAATTCATTACATATAAATATATTTTTATGAAAATAAGCATATCTTCTAAAACAAAAAAATAGAAGAGTGGCATTGTTTTATAATTTTGCAAATATCTTTAGTAGCCAAACTAACAGAAGACCCTAGATTCTCGCATTTACTTCTGTATTCAATCTGTTACAATAAATCAAAACAATATTGAAAATTGAATATTTTCAATTTTCACACAAATTGAAGCATTTGTGTGAAAATCCAGCCTCACACAGACACACTGTTGGAAACAAGAGGAGTATTAAACAGCCCTTTCAGATCATTCTGAATATTCTTTGATACTATACTAAAACTCAACAAGTAGCGTTTCTTAAAGATTAGTTGCGGTTGGGCACAGTGGCTCATGCCTGTAATCCCAGCACTTTGGGAGGCCGAGGCAGGTGGATCATGAGGTCAGCAGATCGAGACCATCCTGGCTAACATGGTAAACCCCGTCTCCACAAAAATACAAAAAATTAGCCGGGCGTAGTGGCGGGCGCCTGTAGTCCCAGCTACTCAGGAGGCTGAGGCAGAAGAATGGCATGAACCTGGGAGGCAGAGCTTGCAGTAAGCGAAGACCGTACCACTGCACTCCAGCCTGGGCGACAGAGCAAGACTTTGTCTCAAAAAAAAAAAAAAAAAAAAAAAGATTAGTTGCAATTGGAATCTAAACCCCTCCCCGCCCCCCAAAAAAAGATGAGTTGCAATTGGAATCTAAAAATTTTTCATACTCTGTTACATTAAAATCCATTAAAAAACAGGTTTACCATGCACTTTGAATGGTTATCCATTAAAAAACATAGGTTTACCATGCACTTTGAATGGCTGTTATCCAAGCATGATTTCAAAACATCATCTATTGGAAAATATTGGTTCACTGAGTTATGCAAATCTTCCTAACATTGATACATTTCATTCTACAATCGTTAAAAAAAAAACACATTCATTAATATCACTACCAATCTTACTCAAAACGTCTTTTAAGTATTGGGAAGCTATCCAATTCACAGTGGCAGATATAGTTTTCCAAAATACTAATTTTCACTTGGAAGTTCAAATTTTAACGTTGGCAATAAATACCGAAAACTGTTTTTCATGAAGTGACAGATTTATTTCATTCATTTTCAAGGAAATATCTATAAAATACGCAAGTATTTTGGGAGTCTGTGAGGGTGAAACTATTTTTATAATAATACTAAAATGTTATTTTGCCTTTTAAAACTATGGTTCAAACATATAAAATTTACCATTTTTAAGTGTATAGTCAGTAGTATTAAGCATATTTACATTGACTCTGAAACCATAGTTTTTCTGGCAGTCATTCTTTTAACTAAAAATAGTGTCCCATGATAAAAGCAGCTGGGTTTACCTCATAATTCAAAAAACTGCCCCAGTGCTTTTACTCTAGACAACTTCAGTATATAGCAGAAGTGCTTAATACCTATTTCCCCTTTCATCACATAGAATGTTGAAAAGATATTCATAAGTGGAACTGAATCTTTTCTTCCAATGCAATTGTGTGGCAATATAGAATACAGTAACTACTAGTACAATGTGGTGCCTCTGTCTTGATTTGAGCTAAGGCATTATTAGCAGTTTTACTTGCCATTGCTTTTGCACCATCAAAGCAAGTATCAATCAACTCAGTGAAAAAGGCAAAAGACATGACTACAGTCAAGAGATGGAAGCGACCCAAATGTCCATCAATAGATAAATGGATCCACAAAATGTGGTATATGCATAAAATATTATTCCGCTTTAAAAAGGAGGAGATCCTGTCACATGTTACAACACAGATGAATCTTCAGGATATTATGCTAAGTAAATAAGCCAGGCACAAAAAGACAAGTACTGTATGATTCCACCTATATGAGGTATCTAAAGTAGAAACAGAAAATTTAATGGTAGTTACCAGCAGCTGGCTGGAAAGAGAGAGAAAAGGAGAATTCATTAATGGGTACAGAGTTACGATCCACAAGATGAAAAAATTCTGGAGATCTGTTTCACAACAATG